GACCAAGATAAGTGGGCCAATGGCTATTAATCATAATATCAACTTAATACCCAGCCCGCTAACTAAGTAGACCTTCTTCATTTGTATTTACTATTAGGAGACGATTCATTCTGGCCCAACCCAATAAGTCATCTTTATCAACGCAACTTGACGTACGGGATTTTGGGGAAGTAGAAGGGAACGCATAGCCCCACCGAGCCTTGCCCTGCCTTTCACTATTATAATCGGAGTTAAGAAATTTAGAAGCACATTTCGTTTCGTTTAACTGAAACTGAAAATTCTCTCCTCCGGCGCAAATCGTATACCTTTAGCTCAAATCAGTTTCGTAGATCTTCCTACCGATGCAGACGCGCGTTAGATGTTCTCTCTAATGCCAGAAGTACGCTGTGTCTGCTTTCATCCCCTAACACTTCATCACTCGCAAATTCGCCAAAGAAGGCCGTGAAATTAATCATCGTCTACAGATGAAGGTGTTAGCCTATAATTGTCGTAACTTCTTACAATAGTAATCTCTGGCTATGGTTGTTCATGCTTTGCATATTCCTGAATCTATATTGCATGTTAGTTTCTAACTTGCCTACCCCTTTTGTTTTTTGTTTCAGATCTGATAAAGTGGGAAAGCTGTTTGACAAAGTGTTGTTGACGGGTTTGCAACTTCCATGGGAACTGGTACAGCAGCCTCATCTTTTCATGTAATTATAGAATCTCGGGGCACATTGCAGACCTGTTGATGCTCGTTGGTTATCCAAATAGGGAGCTTGAGTAATTTAAGTGTCTTCAATGTATGGCAGAAACCAAAAGGAGATAATTAATGGCAAGATTTTATTCATCACTATGTGCTTCATCATTTTAATTACCAGTGAGGATGACTGTCTGATTATTATTCTCTAATGTTATAATTCAACAGTCAAAATTGTTGAACTAGTTATTTTTAAAATCAAATTTTTGGATTTAATGTTCTATTGATATAAGATTATACATGTTAATCTTTAAGTTGATATAACATTTATAATTATTGGATCAAAAAATTTATATTTTTTACATACATTTAATAGTATTAAATTTTATATAATTAATAAATTAATTAAATATATTTAATTAATTTAAAATTAATATTCATTATCTATTTGAATAAACTACTAAATCTAACTATCAATTTTTTTAAATATTCAATAATAAGTAATGCTTTTAAAGTTAAATTTTTTATAAGAATTAAGATTAATATACATTAATAAAACGGGCAGAACTGAAGACGGCGAAGTTACTTTTAAAGCAACTTCAGTCTTCACTCAATGCTCCTTTTTATTTTAGTGAGCTTAAACTGAGATTGGGCTTGAAAATTGGAAATGAGAGAAACTCACCTAAATACCACATCAAGTCATTCTGCCCAGAGAAGGGCCCGGATTGCCTTCGACCATGGCAAAAGCCTTAAAAGTGCCCAGAGGCCAGGAGAATAACTGCGTCAAGTCAACTACACATTCACGCCAATTCAATCATCGAACCGAAATTTGGTTGGGTTGGTATGATTATCAATCCCCACCAAAGCTTACAGCCGACGATCAATCAGCATTGAGTCAAAAAGACAGGCCAACCCATTTATCCTCTTACTTTTCTCCCATCACCTGTCCTCATCTTCCTCACGTACTTTCTCACATTGTCAGTAACTTTATTCATCTCCACACCCCACCACAATCCACCGTTTTGTCGTCTGATTTCCTTGACATCGTGTCCTTCTTTAAAGACTACGTGTCTTAAATATGACCCAATTACAACGGGATTAATTTTTCCTGAATTCTCTACTTCAAAAATGGATCATCTGCTATTCAAATATCTGGTTTCATTCACGTATAAAAATGTCTAAATTATTACGAGACAACAACAAAATTTTACAGGTTGGATTGAGAATTTGAGGCTGATATTTACAGAGAAAGTCTGCGTTGACATTTGCAGAGCACAAAAAAGGAAAAGAAAGAAAGACTGATTGAACAAAACTGCGGAAGAAATAAACGAAACATCAAGCTGAATTCAAATCGGAGATCGAAACCCACATGCATGGTTTTAAAAGGAAAGAAAGAGAACAAGAATTTTTAAATTTTTTTCTTGAATTTGATCCTACCAAAGAAGCCTAGACCTTTTGGATTGAGGGTTGATTTGTGGGACAGTAAAGCCATCATCCGTCCATCTCCTGCTTGTCTCCATGCCTGTAATCTCCTTCGAAACAATTTGCCCACCAAATTGAGAAGAACATTGGTGGGAAGGATACATCGACAGAGACGGCGACTGGGGCACCGAACTACTCGAACTTTTCGACGAGAAAGTTATTACGTTGCTCTCACCCAAAAACGGCAGCATCGCATCATTGCTCTGTAAACAATCAAACCCAGAAACAAGTTTCTCAGATCCGAGGAAATTTACATCATCGGAAAGAAAATATTGAAGAGAAAATGACCAGCCCCAAACCTTACAGAAACCAAAAGGAGGAGCAGAGGAGGAATCAAGAAAATCTTCAACGTGCCAGCCGGGAAGCACCTCCATCAAGTACTCTGAAATTGCAAACTGGTTATCTCCGCCAGTAGCAGCCATGTTAGCTGCTGCTACGGTTGAATTTTTAGCAACCGGAGATGGGTTAGAAGCCACCGGAGAAACCGAGACGGGTTTCATCTTAAGGGGATGAAACTTGAAGTCCGGAACAGAATCGCCAGAGGGCGGTGTGTAAACTGCGGCGGTGGCAGAGAGCTTCACCCCTGTAAGAAGAAACCTGTTATGCTCCTTGGTGTGTTCGTTAGCTGTATGAATTGGAACGTCACAGTCTCTGCATAAAATCGCTCTGTCTTGCTGACAGAACAAGAACGCCCGTTTCTCCTACCAAAAGGAAACCCCAATACAAACCCAGAAATTCAAAGAAATTCAATCAAAATTCAAAACAAAGGATGATGAAAAAAATATAAACATACCTGACAGACATCACAAAGAGGGAATTGTTTGGTGGACGAAGGGTGGAGAAGGGAGAAGCGTTGGTGTTTAGATGCGAGCTTGTTGGCGTGGTGGACGCGGTGATCACAGGCGTCACAGAGAGCGGCCTCATCGGCGGTGCAGAAGACTGACGCCTCCGCCTTGTCACAGACATCGCACTGGATCTTCATCTGCTGTTTTCTTCAATCAGATTGTTAGGGTGTAGATTATGGTTTAGTACAGAGTGGATTTTCGACTCAAATTTGGTGCTGTAGCCTGTAAGAATGGAGAGAAACAGGGAATCATGGGCTTTTCTATTTTTTCATTTACTTATTAATTAATTTACTTCTTCAATGCTTTGCTTTGGTTACAGTAAGATTCATCTTTTTTGAGCCCACCAGTCCACCACTATCTAACCAACTTTCTTAATCTGAAACTAATGAGTTTAGTGGCCGGTGACAATTTTTCTTCCACTCATAGAAAGGAGGCGATTTTGTGTTGAAATTATACAACATTTGAGTGAGACCGATAACGAAATTAAGGCTTTTTTTTTAGTATGATTATAATTTTAAACTTTTTGTTTTAATTTTTTAAACTTTAGAAATTTTAAAATAAAATTAATTAAATTTATAAATTTATTAAGTTTAGAATTTTAGGTATTTATTTTAAAATTTTATACCTAATATATTTATTTTAAAATTTTATACCTAATAAGTTAATAATTTTTATTTTTATTTTTAATTATTTAAATTTTAAAAATTAAAATAAAAATTTAAAATTACAATTATATTAAACGAAACTTAAAGAAAAGAAATGAAAGAGGACAAGCTACAATTTTTGAAAATATAATAATTCACATAATTTTTACTTTTATTAAAATCTTATAATCCTGAATGTAATATTAGTAGTAATTATAATAAAAAAAAACTCATTTATAATTAAAACGGTCAAACACCAAACTTAATTATAATTGATTATTGTCATTAGATCATTTAAATTGTCATGCATTTATTCACGTAATTTCATTTAATCAGTATGAAACTTAAAATCCATTTTATGGTAAGAAATATAGGTAAATTAGCTATGATTCTAGAGTGCATATAACGCAAAATGAAACATGTCAGGAATATGTGATATATGATACAAGTATATTATGGACGAATTTTCCCTTAAAGTGTGGGGACTGGTTTATAAATTAGGGGTCTTTTAGGTATTGCAATAGACAGTGGCATTTATATATTGGAGCAATACTTTATATTAAGATAAGAATAGATGAGTGTGAGTTGTTGATGTGTTGGCTAATAATGGAGTAGTGGCAGCTAAGGGATGGATGGGATGGGCAAACCGTACATCTCTCTTTTCTTGCACCCACTATATTTTTCTTTATCTGGAGAATACAAATTAAATGGCAGATATTTTATTCTTACCTTTTGTATTTAATTTCCCTGGATTTTTCTAATATGATTTTTTATTGTGTAACTTAAAGAAATTTTTTTTAAATATATAAAATAATATAAAATTTAATATTAATATTAACATGAATATTAAAAAAATTTAATTAATAAATTAATAAATTTAAAATAAATTTTTATTTTTTAATATAAATTTATAATAAAAAATATTTATTACCTTCTTTCTATGTAACTTAGAAAAAAGAAAACAAATCTCTTTTAGTCCACACAAAATTGGCAGATCTTGGGAAAGATGGTTCAATCAAAAACCTTCCACATGCCTGCCTCTTGACTTGAGAATGGTTTGGAGTCAAATGCTTTTGTTTTTTTTATTACGGGGATGAGTGACTTTGGGGATGGGGCGGTGGACACCAGAGGGCCTAGAGCCCAGGTGGAGTGGGGGGAAGGGATAATCACACTCCACGCACCCTATCACTTGAGTTTTGGACTCAAAAGCCTTTTTGGGATTAAGGATTGTGACCATTTAATTGTGTGTGATTAACCCTTTTCCCATAGGCAAATCCATGAAGAAAAAGGAAATTATGATATTGATTTACCGCTTACGTTTTATCCTTTACTTATTTGCTTCTCATTAATGCATTAATGAATAAATTTCATGTAATAATTATAATACTAATCATTATAAATAAAATTTATCAATCACTTTTTAGACTTTGAGTGAATTATAAGAAATATATTTTTTGTTCGTCTAAAAATAAGAATATAATGAATTTTTAATTCAATGATTAAAAAACAAGTCGTAATTTTTTAAAAGGTTTTGGATTTAAATTTCTTGTTCTCAAATTATTAATTATGAAAAGAAAATGAAAAATTAAAAAGAAAATGGGGAAAAGAGTATCACTATCAACTTAATATTCAAAAGGGGTCTTAAAGAAAGAAAAGGATAGTTATTGAAGATGTTGGTACAACTGTTCACTTGAAATGCAAGCTTATTGAAGATTCCCTATCATCAACAATATAATAATGTGAAAAATGATGGTGATTATGAGGAATTGAGGATAAGGAAGAAAGAGTGGGAATGGGAAAAGAAATATATAAATGAATAAGGGAGAAGAGAGAAAGAAAAAGGAAAGTGGTGAGTATCTTTCTTTTCTTTCTTTGGTAAGTTGTACCGTTTTGGTGGGTTACGTGGGTACACCAGACAGTGGGGGGAAATTTTCTCATTCAATCATGATATCACGTCAGCAGTGTCTCTCTATTAAGAATAATGAAAAAGATAATGAAAATTTGAAATAAAAATTTATAATTAATAATATGATTTATACTATATTATTAAATTAATTAATATATAATATTATAAATTAAAAATTA